AGAATACTGATGCTCTGAGGTTTTTCAGAAGGTTTCTGGAAAACCTTAAGCCAATGCTCAGCTCACATTCACCTTTTTCGTCTTCGATTATGCTTTATGAGCTGTCCTGAGCGTTTGCTGAAAATTTTCTTGAGTCAGCATGAGATTTGATCGAGATATAATGATTTTAATTTTTGCTAGTAACAGACGAAAAACCGGTTTTTCACAACAATGCCTCTGACGAAGTTATATTCATTTCTACACAAAAACAAATGTTGCCACTACGGTTTTTTAGAGTGTAATATACTCTTTTTTTTGATACTTTTTAATTTGATGCTTTTATTGAGAAGAAATTCACAATAACTAATCGTTGATGAGAAAAATGTGAAACAAATGCAACAGAACGTTGTCCTTTCGCATTTCGAGAGGTAACGAGGAAATCTATTTGACTTCACAAGATAGAGAGTATACTCTAAAAAAAATCTAAAAACTTATACTATTCGTCTTATTTTAAAACATTTGTTTCTCGAGGCAGTTCTTCCGTCTTATTTCTTAATTGACGAAGAAGTCATTCATCTCTTTTGTTTTGCGTACGACACTCGTATATAAAGAACAATGATTTCTTCGAAACAACTTGACAATTTATTTTGATTTCTTAATAAAGTCGTTGATATGATCATTACCTGGGCATTCTCCCAGTCCTATATTACAAAATTAATCCATCAACTTTTTACGATCAAATTTAGGTCAAATATACGGTTTTTAATTAATCATAATAACCAACCATTAAACAAACCTTCTTTCTATCTAACTGGAAAGTAAATTTTAGAGCACGAGGGTCGTTCGAGTGAGAAAGTCATTACATTATGTCCAGAGTCCTATGTCAAACTAAGAAAAAAAGTTTATGTATGAGATAAAAGAAAAGTCTGCATTCGTTTTCAAAAGGAGAATGTCTTTTCCAACTTATAGTTGGTGAAGATATACAATCTTCCATATGTAAATGTGCAGAAAAACTTTCGCCCATAATGTTTTTTCAAGAAGTTCGCGACTGATTTTATTTGTTTCAGAAAAATAGTTCGTAAACAAAATGCCCTGGAAAGAAATTGCATTTGTAGTTGCTATTACCTGTACGTTTGTGATTCAATACGGTAAGAGTCCGGTAGTTTTATTTAAAATCTTTACCTTTGTTGTTTTTATTGTGTGTGTATGAAGGAGATGGTTTGGCATGCAAATCTTGTCAAAAAACCGAAGCATCTTGTATCCTAGGTTACAGTTCAGAAACACATGAGTGTGTAAATGACAATGACATTTGTTATTCGTGGTTTGATCGAACAGGTACGTTTAAATATATATTTCTCTCTTCGAAAAAGAAAGTTTCTATGATCGTTTTTAGGTAGTCATGTGAGAGTTCAACGTGGTTGTATATCCATTACTTCACAAGAATACCTTGTTGTAACAGATTTACTGGAAAAAGATGATAGCGGATGCCAAAAAAGACCAGATGGAATTGATTGTTTTCATTTTTGTTCATCAAATATGTGTAATTAAAGCATGTTTACGTACACCATCGTTATTTTTCAATTTTTTTTAATTATCCGCGTATATATTAAAAATATCAGTATTGTTAGTTAATTCAACGCACAAGGACAGAGTATACAAGAAATAAACGAATAAGAAAGAACATTGTTCTGTTGCATTTCAGTCGTTGTTTTTTGATAATATTCGATAAATTTTTATTATACACAGCATATGTACTGTCAATCAAGAACTCAAGATCATTCTTCTTGAACTACGTTGACAATAGTACCTGGGCGAAAGTCCCTATAATGTCCTGATATGCTACTTTGTTGATCATACCTCTGTTTGTTCAATTTTCTGACACCTATTTCCGATGAGCCGTATACCCACGTCAGATTTTATCATTAGCACTATACATTTTCAAAGTATATTTCTTTTATAATTTCTATTTTCTAATTATTTCTTTGTAATCAATACGTAAAATTGAACACACTTGACTAATTTATTCTCAAATGGTTGAAAACAACCGAAGTCTCTCTGGCTTTGATTTATTTACAGAATCTCTTGCAAAATAAACAAAGACAAATATTGAACTCGTCTATCGGGACTACAGACTAATTTGAAATAGACCACGTATAGTATCAAGTTCTTGGGAGAGTCGACTTTTTACTTTTGTAATTGTTGACGTAGAACGAGCAGAGACAGTTAAAAACAGAAGATGACAATCGGTGAAATTTTAACAAAGTTAGCATCATGAGTGTGTGTGTGTATTTTTCGTTCTTTCTTGTATGCACATTACTGATACTTTAAAACAGACGAAAAAAATTAGTTAAATTTAAAATGTTGTTCTTTTCAATGAAAAGAGTGTAATGGTCGATCACATGAATGTATATATATATATCGGCCAAAAGTATGTGATCTCTGAAAAATCACTTAGAATCAATTATATCGTGTGTTGTTTGATGTGCGTATAGTACAGGTCAAATGCTGACCTTAAGACTTTACGCTTTGTTTGACTATACAATTCAGGATATATGAGTGTCGTCCACCATCGGCAAATTCTTTATATTCCCTGCTCTCATATGAATATCGCCACGTTTAAACTCTTTTTGTGTTTTCTTCCTCGAGAAAGTGCATAATTTCAAACACACATCAAACCTTCTCTGTTTATCGGACGTTGTTAGATGTAGAAACATCGAGGACATGGAGTCTTCTTTGCTTTCTGAAAGCTATTCAAAATCTTGTCATCGATACAAAAAAAAATAAAAGTTCAGAATATTCAAACTCACAATTTCGTATTTCCTCATTTCCATTTTTGATTGCAGATAATACCACTTGATATGCAACTATCAGCAATGCAACTATCATACAGATGATTTTGTGTGAAAAAATTAGTCTGTAGTCCCTCCCTATAGGCGAGTTCAATATTTGTCTTTTATTTTTCAAGAGACTGTATAAATAAATCAAAATCAGAGAGGTTTCAATTATTTTTGACCGTTGGGAATAATGGGTTGTCTAAAAGTAATGTAACAAAAGTAAATATAATTGTCTTGCCTGTCTGATTTGAGCATTAGACACCAGTAGACAACTTTCATTGATAATTGGTTCAAAAGCCGGAATACTCACGGATTGAGAGTAAAATATTGGTCTGACATTTGGATAACGTACAGTATTTTTGATAGATTTGCTGTGAACAAGGGATCAAAACATTGCTTTTCAGTCGAATTATGAATTTTTTTCAAGAAAATGCAAAATCGTAAATGCACATAAACGTTTCTCAGCGTATCAAAATTGTTTTCTTTCTTAAAAAAACGAAGAATACGTGCAATAACCGTCCAAATTTTATCAATCGATTTGAACTATTCTTTCTTTAATTTTTTTCTATGATAAAGACAGGCATGTACATTCATGTGATCGACCATTACACTCTTTTCGTTGAGAAGAACAACATTTTAAATTTAACTGATTTTTCGTCTCTCTTTTAAAGTATCAATAATGTGCATAGAAGAAAGAACGTAAAAATACACACACACACACACACTCATGATGTTAACTTTGTTAAAATTTCACCGATTGTCATCTTCTGTTTTTAACTCTGTCTCTACTCGTTCTACGTCAACAATTACAAAAGTAAAAAGTCGACTCTCCCAAGAACTTGATACTATACGCGATGCTGGTACGTATAAACGTGAACGTGTTATTACAACCAGTCAAAGTTCACATATTCGGGTCGAAGGCAATCAATCATCATCAACAATTTTAAATTTTTGTGCAAATAATTATCTTGGTTTATCGAATCATCCAGAAGTTGTGGAGGCGAGTAAACAAGCATTAGATCAATATGGTGCCGGTTTGTCGTCCGTTCGTTTCATATGTGGTACACAAACTATACATAAAGAGTTAGAAGCACGAATAGCCAAATTTCATCAACGAGAAGATGCTATTTTGTACATATCATGTTTTGATGCAAATGCGGGTATTTTTGAAACATTACTAAAAGAAACAGATTATGTTATTAGTGATGAATTAAATCATGCATCGATTATCGATGGTATTCGTTTGTGTAAAGCAAAACGGTTGAGATATAAACATAAAGATATGCAAGATTTAGAAATGAAATTGAAAGAAGCAACTATAGCAGATGATAATGAGAATTTAATTAAACTCATTGTAACAGATGGCGTATTTTCAATGGATGGAAATGTGGCTAATTTGCCTGAAATACATCGATTAGCCGAAAAATATAAAGCGATTATTTTCATTGACGAATGTCACGCAACCGGGTAAGCGTGAGCTTATGTTTGTGTATGTGGATCAAAATTCTAGTTCTAAATAATTCTTATTCTTTTACTGACGAGCTTAACTCGTGAGTTACGAGCTTAACTAAAACTGTTCTTGTTCATGGAATATTTTTCTTATAGTTTTTTTGGTGCAACCGGTCGTGGTACAGAAGAACATTTTAATATGATGGGAAAAATTGATATAATTAATTCGACACTTGGAAAAGCTCTTGGAGGAGCAGCAGGCGGTTACACGACTGGACCAAAAGAACTCATTGATTTGTTACGACAACGGTCACGGCCATATTTATTTTCAAATTCTCTGCCACCGTGAGTATGTGCTATAGTTAATTAAAACATATAATAATTCTGACAAGATCATTCTCTTTTTTTCATAGATCGATTGTTGCCAGTGCTTTGAAAGCTATAGATTTAATTGAAAAACATCCTGAATTACCTGGTCAAGTTTTGGAAAATACAAAATATTTTCGAAATGAAATGCAGTCCTTAGGTTTTAATGTGAGTATGATTTTAAATAACTACAGCTAATCTTTATTATTGAGTGATTTTATATAGATTTTAGGTGATAATCATCCAATATGTCCAGTAATGTTGGGTGATGCACGTTTAGCAGGTCAAATGGCTGAAGATATGTTAAAACAATCGATATATGTCATTGCATTTAGTTATCCAGTAGTGCCAAAAGAGAAGGCACGAATTCGAGTACAAGTATCAGCTGCACATACTAAACAAGATTTACAAAGGTGTATTGATGCATTTAAAAATGTTGGACGAACATTAAAAATAATCAAATGAGAACAATTTTTATCGTACTGTTTGTTGTATAATATTAGTACGAACTTTAAATAAATGTTGTCAGTTTTTCATTGAATATTCTCATTCAGTTTTTTATTCTTAAATAATCTGATGTGTTTGTGCAAGTTTTAGTTCAATAGAAAATAAATATCAATATTTTGTTCAAAAAAATTGCATGACTTATAAATTGTAAGTTCAGAAAAACATTCCACTGTTCAACAGACTATACAATATGAATTAAAAATACCAGTTTACATACTAAAACTCATTCAGAAAATTTTTGTCGAACATTCAGAGGCATTACTTTGTGAAAATTGATGATCACGTGTTTGGTGTTGCAAATACATGGCTCCGACACCATCAGAGTATTAGCGGAAAATTTCTGCACTTGTACACAAGTAAACAATCTTTTTGTGTGAAAAACAATCGTGACCAGCATTGCACTCCCATCAATCTTATCTTAACCTAATTTTTTTCATAGCATTAAATATAGTAGCATTAAATATCTTGCTATATTTCACGGTTTTATTTTATATGTGTTTTCTAAAAATGACAGTCAGACTAGGACAGTTTGAATTACAAATCCATGACACTATTACTCAGCCACGTAGGGAAAATGTAGGGAAAATTTTATATCTGTGCTTGCGATCAACCTTCACGATATTTTACATCTAAAAAAATTTCACACACGACTACGTATGACACTTTGTAAGAGTTTTGTTTGAAAAAATTTCTAAGATACTTCCACTAGATACCTTTTCACGTACTAAAAAGTGATCTTCGATCATATCTAAAAACCCAGTAGAGAGTACGACAAGCAATGGTGAAGAAAATAAAAAATATAAAACTGTCATAAAAACCATTATGTTTATTGAATTAAAGGAATGGAACAAACATGAATCAAAATTAGAATACTAAAATCTTTCTTAAATTTCAATGAATCTTTTGATTTGAATTAGCATCATAAGATTCATAACACTTACATAACTCTAAACTTTTATTTTAATCAATACTTTTAAGATGCTATCTTATACTAATTCGCTAACGTTTTTTCCAGTACGGCACTCCACATTCGACAAACTCATTTTCTGTTCTGTCAACTTTTTCTCGATATCCACTGTTGCTGATTTCTGGTCTGAGTTCAAAAGCGAACCTTTGTGTTAACAGCGGAGTGAGAGTGTTTCCCTTTTGAGATTCCATCGATACTTCATTTATCTAATAGAACGCCCAGAAGAGTGACAGATTTTTCCAAGATTTGCTAATCTTTATTGAAAAGTCATTAATCTAATGACTTAAGAAATGTACAGGCGCGATGTTTATGCAAAAGATTTAATCACGAGATTTAAATCATTTTGTTTGTAACTCATAAGATAATGAACGAATGAACTAGCTACACGGTGCATAATTCAAATGGAATAGAAATTGATTATCAAGAATCTGGAGAGTTCACGTTTAGTATCTGCATCTTGATGTGTAATCAATCAAGTTTTCTATTAGTTTAAAACTGGAATGTCAGCAAAGTAAACACGAAACGAGCATTTTCCAATGAATATAATTAACTAAGTAGTAACCATGTATATTAGCCAATTCTGATCAACCATTGAATTTTACTATCAACTGAACTTGTCAAAACTAAGCGATGATTGTTATGTATCAAAAACAAGCAGAATTTTGATTTAATTGTAAATCTTAAGCGATAGTTTTTTGGTGATTAATAATCAATTCCACATTGTATGTTCATATTGAATGTGCATAATATATGTATGAACAATCATGTTTCAATTCAAGTTATTGAGATGAGCTGTTGTGCACTCGTTACCTGTCAAACATATTTTTGTTGCTGAAGGAGAAAACATCAGGTTCTTTCACTGGCAAAAAACTAACAATGGAACGGTTTGTACTGTTAAGCCGCTTTCAAGTTCGGAGCATGTGTATTAGATAGACCCCGGTGAGGTATAAAAAACCACAAAAGACTATGTGCTGATGGGTCTTCCCTCCAGAGTTACAGTCATTATACTGGAATTCTAGCCTATTGCATGGTATCTACCAAAAACACTAATCACGATATTTCGACCTGAAATTTTGCCCACAAGTAGGCCTACTTGTAACTAGAATGTTCTGCAAATTTCAGTTCAAAAGAATGTTCCCTTCA